TGGGATCGGTATTGCCAATCAGTTTGGCAATGCATTCAATTTGAGACATAAATTTCATGTAACCCATATTGAAAAATAAACTCTAAATTTTTGGCTCTTTTTCTTGTCTCTCAGACTGCTGAAAGAAACCTGTTTTTTGAGCTCGCACACACTTTTCAAATGTAGTTCTCTATAACAAACCCAAGAAAGCAACGTTAACAATCAACTAAATGGTCTCCGTCACAGAAGTGGTTTCTTATCAGACAGAACAAACAGAGAGGTGGAAATAGCTTATAAGTGATGTCTTTCACACCCCTTTGCTATGAGTGTTTCACAGTATCGTCGTTGTCCTCAAAGTGATAAACCGGAGTGATCATGCTACCTCTTCAACATCACTACGCCGTAGACAAGACGTAGGGATTCGAGGCGCGATCTCTTACGAAAGTTAAGGAACGAGTTGTGGTAATGAATGGAGGGAGCGAAGGTTATTGAATTTCCTCTTTAGCGAGCAAATAAGAAACAAACTCAACACATATGCCGAGCGCAGGTTGTTACCGCGAACATGAAATACCCAGGCTGGAACGGCACCAGGCGGGCCGGAGCGATTATGCGTTTTTGCACTTTCGTACCGTAGCAAGATCGCAAGGAGTAAGTGTAGCTAACCAGGCGGGCCGGTGCGATTATGCGTTTTTGCACTTCTCATGCCGTAGCAAGATCGCAAGGAATCGCAGTAGCTAACCCTATGACATACTGGCCCTCGATGTACTGGTGTAGACTTCAGTGACCCGGCTAATGGAAAGGTGCTGGTCCGCAAAAAAGGCCACACTAGAAGAGTTAAATTTGAAATCTTTTAGCCGCACATAAGTAGGGACACTCCCTTAAAATTTAAGCCTTCAGCTTATCATGTTACCGAATTGGCAATTTTCCCACCAAAATTTTCACGTGTCCGTACGTGGTTACCGGACGGTTTTAAGGAGCTGAATTTAAAATCTTTTGGTCATACATTATCCTAAAGTTATACATTATCCTGAATACATTATCCTAAAGTACATTATCCTAAAGTACATTATCCTAAAGGACATTATCCTAAAGTCATACATTATCCTAAAGTA